TTTCCTATATCGATATGAGGATTTATTATGCCGAACACAGATGCGGAGCTGGATAGCCGCATCACATCCTAAGCGATGTCATTCAAAAGTACAAATTAGGCAAAAAACCTTCCTTACGCGGAATAATCTTCTATTCTAATTTAGAGACAACGGTTTTGAACGATACACAGTCTAAGGCTTTTAATCGTGTTGACCACGCTTTTCTTCTATTGAAACTTTCCACTATCGGAATAGGTGACGAAATTCTGAATCTCATATCTTCTTACCTGAGCGGTCGCACATATCTGACTAAGGTTTCCAATGCTATCGCCAAACCCACACATACGAAAAGTGGATTCATTCAGGGTAGTGTACTCGACCCGCTTCTATTCGCCTTTTTTCTAACGATGTACCGGATTTATTTCAGAATGCTAAGCCCTTCATGTATGCCGTTGATCTGAAGGTTGCATACAGGTGTAAGCCAGCAGATCGCGACGTCATGCCCGAGCACCTAGAGAACTATGCACTGCACACTAGTGTCGCACAAGGCCACATTCTATTTCTTCGCACAAATGCCCAGTCATGGTGGTCGGCGACGACCACTAACCTCAACTAAGCATTGACGATCAAGACATAAATGGGCCTAGCTTATTCTCCGAAACTTTAAAACAAGCGATATTAGGATGCTTGTTAAAATGCTGGTTAGACCTGACCTGAATTACTGTTCGCATTTATTCAGCCTCATGCGTGTAACTAAGGGGAAGAAAATAGAATCCGTTCAACAATTTTTTTACAAAGAGAGATTTAACCCCGGAACACCGACATTTGTCCTACCAAGAACGTTTCCGGCTTACAGGCCTTGATCCTTTGTGGTGCCGTACATTACAAAAGGGACTACTTTTGCTATTTAAGCTCTTACATAATCACACATTTAACCCACTCACCTCTTTAAGACATCCTGTCCACCCCGACGTAGCAGACTCCGTGAAGTCTTTTTATTTCTTTCTCTGGCACGTACCGTTAAATATCGTAAGTTCGTTTTGTGAACGCAATTGCTATTTGGGACAAATTACCCAAGCCTGTGTAAACCGCAAAATTATTCTTTGTTTAACAGAACTAACAATCGCTTTATGCATTCAAAATCCACACATTTTGGGTGCTGAGTGTATCGATCAAATGTTCCGAAGTGATTGCGTTCGTGGTCTCTGATACCTATGACCAGTCCCGCAATAAGCATCAGCGACAGCAGTGTGACCCCTCCCTTTTGTCGTTATTTCTTCTGAATCCTTTTGACTATAAAAAACACAATCACATTTATTTTAAGTTGTAAGAGGTAGGAGTGTTTTAACGCGGCTGGCCGTATTTGTGTTTAACCGTCCCAGACAATCTCTGGAAACGAACACTTGTTACAATAATCCTTATTATTTCTTCCTCTGACACGTTACGGTAAATATCGTTGTTTCTTTTCTTTGAGCGCAATTTCAATTTGGAATTTATTAACTAGAAGTGCAAAAATTCCGTAAACATTTTTCTTTGGAAAGGAGAAACATTACTCGTTGCTTGCGCTCAGAATACTCCGAAATATTTTTGGTTTGAATCTGCCGGTTCAATCTACCGCAGTGATAGAGGACGTGGTCCTGCAGTAGGAGACAGGATCGCTGGGCCATGAACTTTTTTAGTTCGTGGTCTATGATCCCCTTGCTTAAATCTCAACAAAAAATTTTCAGCCGCCAGCAAACAACACTTTTTCAATGCAACCGTTTGGTCCAGTCGCTAGCAAACAATGGGTTTTCAATACATCTTTTTGGTCCAGTATTAATTTTCTGCGCGGGAATGGAGACCAAAAATATCCAAAACAGCGTGTCCTATTCCTTTTTGGGACTGGGTTCGTTTCATCGGCAGCGGTTTCTCACTAATGGACTATCCAAACTTCATAATCACCATCATCAGTATTCAGTCATTAAAGATTATCTTCACTGTAAGCCCGATCCGTGCTTTCATTGTTAAAAGTGCCATTAAAATTGCATTGAACGCAATTATTATCATTATGACCCCGATATAATATACTGGAATGCCAGCGCGACAATTTAATCCGGCCGGATTTATAGGGGGCTGTATGCAAATTCGTCATCTAATTCTTTTTGATAGATGCATTGCATTTTCCCTATTTGAGCTCCATTATCTCGCTGTAAGAGCCCTGGCATTTAATCGATGACTTCAACACATTTTACATGGTAGCCAAATAATTGCTTTATAGGATCTGATTATATTTACCCATATATCCACGTAAACGAGTACATGTTTATAAATCTATGTCTGCAGGTAAGATTCTCTCGCGATAAATGTCCCGGCATTTAATCGATGACGTAAACACATTTTACATGGTGGTCATATAATTGTTTTATATAGATCTGACAATATTTACACTTATGTCTATGTAAACGAGTGCACGTTTTCAAAAACTATGTCTAAGATAGGGTTCTCAAAGGCTCTGAATATCTCTTCATATATATACTGAATTACATTAAATTCTCTGCTGATTATTAGTCCGGTTGAAAAAACTCCAGAATTGGAGCACTGTATCCCGAATCGCCTGGAGTTTATCATCCTGGAGTTTTTCGACTGGCAGCTGAATTGCAACGCCATTTCAGCATTAGCGTGGGCTGTCCTGGTGTCAAGCTGTCCATATGCAGTTTGTCCTTTTGACAGTAGGCAGCTAATAACTGAATAATGCTCTTATTTCGAATTTTATTTCCCTAACTTATGTCACCTTCAGAGATTTTGTTGAGTTCGCTCTGTAACTGTATGTATGGTGCGATTGTTGACGATTAGGCTGTTCGCCATCCTATTAAATGAAACGCCTTTCCACCAAAAATGGTATAGTTTGGATAATATATCTGCATAGTATTCGGAAAATGGACATCTACCCGATAATCAGAGATCGGTCGAGCATGTGTTTCAATTATGTTTATCTCTCATTCGAGAATCGACTTGACATTCTTCCCACCGAGGCATCACCATCCAAATAACTGGTTGATTTTCCGTTGCCAAACCTCTCATTCTCTATTCATTCCAAAATCCTTTGTGATAACAATCAAAAACTTGTTTATTGCAATCATTCATAACGTTTACACCACATTTCTCGAACGTACACTGCTATCTTCTGGATACCCCATTTCATGTCGACCCGCAATCAGTCAGTACAGTAATCAGGTTTATCAACGACTCTCTTGCCAATAGAAGCAAACAGAACAGTCCCAGGAAGGAGTCTTGAAGAAGAAGACGACACGATGGCCGGGACAAGAGCTTCATTAGCCTGACGTTGGTGAACACTCTTCCCAACACCGGGGCCAGCGCGTCAGATTGTCGAGCAATCATCACACCAACATACAACGCACGTGATGAAATCGCAGCAATTAACGATGCAAATGTCGGCCATCACGCCACGTGCAACGATCCCTGATGAATGGCGGAGCCGTAAATATTCATAGGTATGCGGTATCATGGCTACTACATCCTATAAATACTGCAGCCGCATATGCATGAACCACCCTTATCTGTGTTCGTCTCTGATGATGGATTCCAGCAGGAATCCGAAACGTCAGGCTAATAAAGATCTTGTCCCGGCGATCGTGTCTTCTTCTTCTTCTTCTTCTTCTCCTTCAAGACTCCTTCCTGGGACTCGTCTTTTTGCTTCTATTGGCAATGTATTTGAGCGCGATGCTCTCCGATCGACCCGGCGATGGGAAACCTTCGCCCCCCTTCGGGAGGCCTCCACTTATTCGCAGATCCGGTTTCTGCACAGGTGTCTCGACAATAATGTGTTGCCGAAATGTGTTTCATACAAGCCTCCGGTTAGCACACATTTGGCGAGACAAGCAGTATTTCAACATGGAAGAAGGATGATCCGAGTGTCCCTCCAAGATCGCCACGCGAGACTTCCCAACTACCGTCAATGGAATGACCGTGAAAAGACCAGATGCCGTGAGTTCATGGGCGAGATCTGTACACATCTGCTCCTGCAGAGGATAGCTGAACAAGCCCGCGAACAGAGAATGATACGCGACGCAGCACTGGAGAACAAATTCCGAAAGCTGCCCAATCCAACGTCGCCCAGAAACGACAAACTGGTGTACAACCTGTCGTCAAAGGAGCCGACGAAGGATCAGATGCAGATTTTAAGGCACGAAGCTTCATTCAACACGACTAACGCCAAATCTGTTAACATGATTGCAGCAGTGGAATCACTCCTTAGTCAGACGAAGGCAACGGAGGAGACCAAGAGCCTCATCCGACACCAAGTGTCGTCTCTCCTGATGGTCCACAGGCCGCGTGAAGTGCTTTCCAAGGTCGAACGTGATGCGCTTAGAGAACTCAAGGCCTGGTCATCGTGCCAACGGACAAGGGGCGCTCCACGGTTGTGATGGACAGGACAGACTACCCTCAAAAAGCCAAAGGTTTACTGGAGGACCGACAGTTATATGTCCCATGTGCAACGAACCCTGTAAAAGCGCTGACACGCGAAATCAATGCTACGTTGTTGGTCATGGAGTACTCAGGTGCAATAACAACGACCGACAGACGCATGACGATACCCTAGGATACGGCTTTGGCGCGATTATATGGCCACCCTAAGGTGCACAAAGACGGCGCTCCTCTCCAAACCATCGTATCGCTCAAAGGTACCTCAACGTACGGACTGGCTTAGTGGCTGTTCCAGCGTCTCAAGTACCTGACCGATGAGTCAGACACCACAGTCTCTGCGTCAGCAGAATTCCTGGAGAAACTCAAAGGGTAAGCCTCCATCAAAATGAGTTCATGGCATTTTTTGTTGTTACATCCCTTTTTACTTCTATTCCCCAGGACCTGGCGATCGAGACAATCGAGCTGCTTCTACAAAATAAAACCATGAAACTGAGAATCGTCTTGGACGCGCCCAAGTCCTTCAGCTCCTGAAGTTTTGTCTCAGGACATACTTCACATTTGATGGGACAATTTACGAACAGGTGAAGGGCACACCAATGGGTTCGCCGATTTCGGGATTCATCGCCGAGGCGTTCCTGCAACGGTTAGAGTCGCTGGTCTTCCAAAACCACAAACCGAAGTTGTGGGCCCGGTATGTGGAGGATACCTTCGTCGTTATCGACCGGGATCAACTGCTGACATTCAAGGAACGTCTGAATGCGGTCTTCCCGGACATACAATTTACGATGGAGGAGGAAGAGAACAACCAGCTGGCCTTCCTGGATCTCCTCGTATGCCGCAAAGATTGTGGTGGACTAAAGAACAAAGTTTTCCTGAAAGCGACAAATACGATGCAAGTACTGAACTTCAACAGTAACTACCCAATCAGCCACAAACGCAGTTGTGTAAAGACGCTTTATTGGCGTTTCGAAACGCACTGCAATAAACCGGAAGACAAGATTGCCGAACTACAATAATTTCGAGGTGTCTTCAAAGCCAATGGCTACCCGCGCAATTTTTTCAACCAGTGCATACGCAAAAGGGACGAAAGGCCTAACCGCACGGACATAAACGTTTGGCGAGTGCTTCCATATGTCAAGAACGTTTCGGAAGATGTTGGCCGCCTTCTCGCACCAATTGGGGTTGGAGTTGCACACAGACCGGAGGCAACCATCAGGCGTCAGTGCATGAAACCAAAAGACCCACTGCTACGGCAAGAAACGTCTGGAGTCGTTTATCGGATCCAGTGCAGTTGCGGACAAAGCAACTACGTCAGAGAAACTGGAAGGCATATCCAAACGCGAATGGCCGAACACGCTGATGCGGTGCGCAGAAATGACGCCAGCTCTCAGGTTGCGGCTCATTCGACGGGTTCCGGCCACACATTCAAATTTGACGAGGCCGAAATTCTTGCAAGAGGTGACAACCGCTTGAGCCGGCAGCTGCCTGAGTCATGGTTTACTGGTCCCCCCGTCTATTAGCAAGTGCAATAATCTTCTCATTCAATACACCGTGCTAAGATTTCTCCTAGGCGGAGTAATTGGCCAAGCGGGGAGCGCACAGGTGAACACTCTTCCCAACACCAGGGTCAGCGCGTCAGATGGTCGAGCAATCATCACACCAACATCCAACGCACGTGATGAAATTGCAGCAATTAACGATGCGAATGTCGGCCATCACGCCACGTGCAACGATCCCTGATGAATGGCGGAACCGTGAATAGTCATAGGTATGTGGTAGCATGGCTACTGCATCCTATAAATACTGCAGCCGCATATGCATGAACCACCCTTATCTGCGTCTGTTTCTGATGATGGATTCGAGCAGGAATCCGAAACGTCAGGCTAATGAAGCTCTTGTCCCGGCGATGGGGTCTTCCTTTTTAAGATTCTCTTACACCTTGTCATGCTATTTGCAATGAATGGGTTATCGCAATGTATGATTTAACTGCCCTGTCATCATTGCCGAAAGTTTATTTACTTAACTTTTTTGTCTGTCAAGAAAAGCCGGTTTTAACATGATTCCAAGCCCTTGTGACATTCAGCGGAAAATACCAGATTAACAAGCCTCCTTTCATTATTCCGAATCGCAATCGCAGTTCCTATGGAGGACGTTATTTAAAAACGGATAGGAAACATCGTAGTCTACGGTTTGGGTTTATTCAATCTTTGAAACTTTGCCTTGAGAGTCGTAGCTCATGTTATGGATTCGTGCATACGCCCTCATTAGTTTGAACACGACCATGTTAACTTCAATTTCACTTGCAGCTGCCGTCATGGTTATTTCTAGCCAAGCCAGACATATTCTTCTTGCAGGTGTGCCGACCTCGTAGACGTGTTTTAGCTCGCCAGACAAGTAAGACTACCACAGCCCGCGCTCAGACAAGCGGTCAGTATGGCATATTAATTAAAACTGCCTTCTTTGAATTCGCATTGATGAGTTTTCGAAAATCGGCAGCTTTCAAAAAAACTTTAAATTCTTCTTTTATCAGCACTTGCTTCCGCAATATGGAAAAGAACGATATGGAATTAGTCGTCTCGAACGAAATTTTAAAGGCCCTGTACGGGAATCCATTATACTTTACGCTCGTTTGAAAAAGACTAAATATACATTGGAATTTTGCAAATATTTGCATAAAATTCATAATACTTACTATGGTTAACAACTTTTGAAACACATACTGACAAAATCATGCGTTTAAAATCCGATTATTGTGCTTACTAAATTACCAATGGCAAAAGCTGAAATTTTAACTAGGAGTGGAATGGCATAGTAGACAAATCTGTAGAAGTACAGTAGGTGGGCCAACTCATGACATGTCAACCACAATTTCCAAATACGCTTTTGTTTCGGAAAAAAAAATTAAGTAGGGTTGTAAAAGTAATTATCCTGCAGAATAATTGTACAACAATCATGTTACTGCAGAATGTCGGTTTTCGAACTATGTTCCTTCCGGTGACATGCAAAAACTGCACTCTATTGATAATGACTTCTTATATCGCATGCATTTTTCTCGTTAATTTCTTATGCCCCTAAATATCCAATTATATTTCATAGAAATAATCAAAAAAAATATTCATTCTTTTTCTCTTTTGATAGAAACCTACATGCTGGTCCACTCTTACACTTGAAAGAATAGTAATATTCGGTTTTTAAAAACTTTTTCGGTTCGCGAATAGGTTTTGGATCCGCTCTTCCGTTACGCTTGGAATCAGGGTTTCCATATAAAAGCCTTATATTTTTTTCCCTACGGGGAAGCACACATTTCTCTCCGGTAATAAAGGGGGACTATATAGGGTTCACAAAATTTGGCAGTGGATTTGATTCATATTGTTAACTTTACAAGCCACATTGGTAAATGCAGATACATGACTATTTATGAACGGTAACTTCACGGCATTTAAGTCCTACAATTAGAAACTTTTTGAAAACCGCATGATACCTTTCCTTCGACAATTGCATTGAAATCAATCGTACTTGTTTACCGAATGAACAAAAGAATGACTATTTTTGTGCATGTTTTCCATGAACTATACTTGGATTTCTAGGAGCATCGATAATCAATGAGACAACTTCATGCTACTTCAGTAGTCTTTTTACAGAGTGTAGTTTTTGCATGCAGTATCGAAGACATTCATTCAATAGCATAAATGGACACAGATATTTACTCTATACTGACTATAGAACTTTTATCACGTTGATAAGAAAAAGAAGTCAATACTGTTTTAACAAGTTACGTCAGCCTAATGCACGCGTTCTCAACAACAAATAAAAAGACCAATCACTAATAAAAACCCCAAAATGTTTCAATAATAACAAAAACACGATCTCCGACAAAGGACCCGGTTAAATGACAGGCTGATGGCGCTATTCAGATAGCAGACTTTTGCACATAACATTAAGAGTTTATTGAACACTATGCGGTAAATGGTCGTTATATAACATCTGCATTATGGAGTTTGAAATTCGTATTACAGCTATTTGTGAGACAGCTTGCTACAGTCTCTAATTTGCAGTGCGACAATGAAAACGTATCTGATATTGAGTCTGCTATATGCGCTTAGGACTTGCATTTGTTGCAGGTCCTGTGGCCAAACAGTAGGCAGCACATGTAAGTACACTATGTTTTATATGGATAATAAAATCATAGTCCCTGATATGCATAAAAATGGGCATTTGGCTAAGGGCTATTAATATAAAGTGAACCAATATTTTAATGTGTTAAATGCATGCGCGGATATGATTCGAACGAACAAATGTGCAATATTCCTTAGAAAATGTACGTCGCCTGAAAATGTATTCAAGCAGTCCAATTTTAGGAATAAGATGACAGTTTAAGAGTCCGAATTCCTTCCCTGCTCATCATTTCCCACCAAACCAAATACATGCGAATAAATAACTTTTCTAAATAATTAAGCGGTGGCCACCATGAAATCTGCTAATCAAATTTAGAGTTTGGGCCGAATAAAACATGTAAAAATTATAAATAAATCTACGTCGTAACGACATGGTAATCAAAACAGAATTATCTCATGCCAACATCTAATTGAGCATAGCATGTTCGAAAATGTGTTTACTGTTTGCATTTTGTCTGCAATCATTAAACTGCATTTCCGAAAATTAATTTATACGCAAACGTACGAGTTTTTGAGTCACACCCTTTGTTTAGTTTATACATCCTGGTTGCCTTTATACCTAACGTAAAGGAATTGACGAGATATTTTTTGGATTCTTTACAATAGGGATAAATGCCAAATACATTTATTTATACACTAGTTGCATCAAACATCTGTAAAGACAGGCATTCAGTTTACTTTAAGAAAGCCTGTTTTTTGCAGTCATTGTGTTTTTAAAGTAGATGTTTGGTGATAATTTTACGTTATGCTCTTTAAAATTTACTGTATTCTGTCTAAGCGCGAACAATTATGACTTTCCGTAATATTCACAAGTTTAGTAATTCTCCACAGGTTCACAGCATACGTAATAACGCGCAACGTACAATACTCAGACACATTTTGAGGAATCTTATTGTCTACTTTTTTGACTAGCAACAGACCTACTGCGATTAAACATTGAAAACTTTAACGTTATTTTTAGCAAACAGTAAATGATATCACATAAACGAGCATGGGACTTCAACATATATAAATCAATCAATTTTAGTCAGTATGAGTTCATGTTAGTAAAAACCGAGTCAAAAGTGACATAAGATTTACCCTAAAAATTGCCAGCAACATACTTATATTATGCATTGTTCAATGCTTTCAGTTGGATCTTATTGTGAAACCAACTCTGAACAGCAGATAACTACAACTTTTAAACAAGTACTTACAAAGCGTCTTCAATTGAAAGGGACCGTTCAACTCCCTGAATGTGCCACTACATTTTTTGGTCGTTTGACTACATTTTTCTTCGACGATGATTTGAACTGCGTCGAGGAGAAGAGCAGATGGGGAGTAAAATTTGTTATTTACTATTGTACGGTCAATATGTACGCTTCGGTATTGACATCAAACCGCCTACGCATGCCATTTTCATTCGACAGTGTTTGGTCTAAAAGGGATTACACAAAAGCCCGTGAGCGCAATTCAGCTAAACGTATTATGGCCAACTTTATCTTAGTCCGCAAAAAAAGTAGATTAACGGAAAGAATTGCATTTGCAAATCAGCAAACACTGTCCTTCAAATCAACTATTTACTCCCCAAACTGCTCAAAAAATGCGGAGAACAATCAAAAATTTACACGCGGTGAAATGGACGTCCTTTCAACGCTTTGGGCTGTACTCAACTCTCGGTATCCTTTTGGATGTTATTCTTTCGCGAGAAATTCCAATCCGAACGCCGTATTCTATCCTAACTAATAAGTGTGAAATAAATGATGATTACAGGAAATGACTCCGTTCTTTTCTCATGCTGTTCATTATCGTGTCTTTGTTTACACGAACTAGTCTCTTTTGAAGTGGCAACTTTGAAACCT